GGAAAGACAAGGCTTACGATCCCCTTTCACCAGCCTCCATTTCTAGGAGCCTTGACATTGATCTCACTGTGATCGAAAGGAACCAAAATACAGTGTGTCTGAAAGAGGGGGCAGCCCCCACCTCGCCAGGCAATAAAGCAAATGGACTCTGAGAAATTTTGTAATAAGACAGGCATGGATCTCAAGGAGAAGACAGAATTTGGCCCAGTTGTGCAGCATCCAAAACCCCACAGGAAACCAACATCTGTGTGACTGCAACTCCTTGTCATTCATAATAAGAGGTTTCTCCAGCTCAACCTTGGGGCTCAGTGGGGGGTTGTCACAGACAATCACCTCCTCCCCCAAAGTAAACTTACTCCACAAGGAATTTCTTCTAAGCAAAACCACTTGAAAGCCTTAAGAAAATGCTAAACCCAAAATACTTTTATAAATTCTGAAGTTACATGGCTCAGTGAAGCACTCTGAATTTATAAAAAAATTCTGTGCTCTTCAAATCTGGTGTACTACATGCGTTTCTTATTCATTTTAACCACATCAAGAAATCCCTTAAGAGATCCCATTTTCTCAGCAAGGAAAGTTACAAAAGAGAATGTGAAATGGGCTCGTTTTCGCGAGCAAAATGAAACACTTTTATGTTTTATTCATGCAACATGAAAACCCCTTTTCTTTACAGCATTACAAATTGAATTTGCTCTTGTAAATTGCTGTTTAAAAAAAAGAGACTCAAAAGCAAAGGAAAGTAAAAAAAGGCAGGAATACTAAGGCCCCTTCTTGTAGGGAATAAAAACTCAAGGGACTAACAGAAATATAACCTTTCGGTGGCAAACACACTTTTTTATTTACTGCTTCCAAAAGCAATCCAGCCCAAGGACCCCACAATCTTGCTGAGGTCCTGACAGCATATATGGAACCCTGAATACTGTACTGAATACTGTATTTCTAAATTACACTTATCTGCTAACATTGACTAAGAATGATTTAAAAACACGAGTAATTGGCTCCACAGTTCAAAAGCATAATCAAGGCAACGTAATGTAATTTATACTGACATCATTGGGGAGTGAAGGGCTCTTCCTGCTTTGCAGGACAACTGAACTCATTAGTGTCCAGAACAGCTTTTCATCCTCTATAGCACATGATAAATTGTCCTTGAAACCACCCTGAGGTCTGACTCACCCCCCCACCTCACTGTCTTTGAAAAGAAGCCATGTAATCAGCTGCATCTGCTAGCATATATTGCTTTGAAAACTCAAGAGCTAACATTCATTAAGCATTTGCCATGTTACCATCACTGTGCTGATTACCATATACACGCATACCCATATACACGTTTCAGTTCTTATGATGATCCCCATTTCACAGGTGAGAGAAACTGAGGCTCTGAGAGCTTGAGTTATTTTTGTCAACTGGAGTTTGATTGATTTTCCCCACCCCTGGACATGTAGTGTTTGGCCTCACTTTAAAAAGTTGGGGTGAGCTGAAAACTTCATCGAGGAAATCCACTAACAACATAATCTTAAGAAAACACAACCCTATCTAGTTGCACATGTATGAGGGTACTTCAAAAAAGTAGAATTGAAAGATAATACAAATCCTCCCAGGAAGTTTTTTTTTTTTTTTTGACGGCTGGCTAGTGCGGGGTCCATGAACTTTTTGAAGTATGCTTATATAGGTAATGATCTACACCTTGGCTTCTGCCTTAAAAACAAACTTGGAGGACAGGACCAGAAAAGGATCAAATGTTTTACACCCAGGGCCTTCCACCTAGGCTAAATGTTTCTAGGTAGAAATGATGACCAAACATCGTCAGATATTTTCTTGTTAAATTAATCAATTCATGTCAGCACATCAAGTGTTACAGCTTTGCCAATCAAGTGAATGACAGGTGTGTATGCATCATCTATCCACCCACTCCTCACAAACACTCATTACTCGGTTACAAAAGCTCCAAGATGCAACTATGCTCCCAGAAAGGTTTATCCAATCAGTCCGAGGACACTTCAGCGCCCTCTTCTGCAGATATTTCTCACGTCGTGTTTCAGCATAAATGTTTGCTCTCTGACTGATGGATACTTAGCCACAATCATTCCTTTCTGGTTTGGGACTTGGAACTGAATCAAAAGTGCTGATGTTCAGCCTTGGCAGACAAAGGCTGTGACAAGCCAAGGTAGACTCCCCACTAGAGAGGACCACACAACCCAATAAAAAACCAGGATGCTCAGGAATGTAACTGCAAGCCCAGGAGAGCCAACTCTCTGCCATCTGGTATTTTCACCTGCTTTTGCAATGCTAATTGTCCTATAGCTCGAAGATCCTCCAGTACCTTGGGACTTGCCAAAGACTGACTATAATTTAAGAGTTAACTGCATTTAATGTAGCCCAGTTACTTAACAATGGCCTCCAAGTATGATGTCTGTGATAATTGCTGCTGTATTAGCTAGAATATGTGCTTGATAATCAGAGCTTGTTTTCAGTCATCCTGAAGAACAGAGAATTCACAACATATCCAAGAAAGAAGGATTACTCATGAATAACAAATTTTCAGCAGAATTTCAGAAAAATACACATTAAATGGAATTTTGAAATGATCAGACCATTCAAGTATTTAAAAGTTTAGCCAGTCCCAAGCCCCAGAAATTGCTAATAATCATGATTTAATGATCTCAGGTTTGTGATTAAAGGCTGTACAAAGTCTCCCTTCAGGCAAGCTCTGGATGAAGAAAATAACAAGTACAAGGGAAAAGACTGCAGAGAAGAGAAAAGGAGGGGTTCAGACTGCCTGAGTGACTTGGGAACTTAGGTGCCCGAGGAGCAGAACTATGCAGAACTCAAAGGCGGGATCCAGAGTTGACAAAAATTTGAGGTATAGAAACCAGGAAGGGAAGCAGCGGGGAGAGCATACAAGGCAGGCAGGCAGGCAGAGGTGCACTTTAGTTTTTTACATTTCTAAACAGAGTCTATGGTCAAGTTTTATGTTCAGTGAAGTGTTCTGAGGCCACACTTTGTTGATAAGTGCAAATGGAGGCACCTGGTACGGTGACACAGGAACTCACCGGCCATTGTCGCGGCCCACGCCCCACACGCGGATGCTCACGATGGGCTGGGAGTGCAGCACCGAGCGGTCCATGGGGTCCACCAGGCTGAGCGTGTCGTTCTCCAGGATCAGGTACATGTCCTTGCCCTAGGGGTCAACGAGAAAACAGGCTGTCTCCTCAGGCAGGCGCTATACCCTTACCACACTTGTGGCGATCTAGGGACATTGTGTCAACAATCAAAAGCAGCCACCCTTTGGGTCTATAATTTGTTTTCCTAAAAGAGAAACATCCTTCCTGGACTAAAATATTCATAAATCTTTCACATTCCCCTTATATGCCCAATTTGTCTCTCTAAGTCCTCTGAAATGTGTCCCCAGCCTGCTTTCTAGTTGGCTCTTATTTTTCATTATTTACCCTCCTGCATCTTTAAGAAAAAAGGCTAATGGTGGGCTCTCTGGAGAATCTGGTCTTTTACTAACGCCACGTCCACCATACTTTTATAACCCCTCTCTCCCCATTCCTCTGGCCAGTCCCTACCAAGTATCCCCTCACAGGCTTCCCAGACCCACAATGAAGTCACCTCTTAACTTTTGTACCACTTCCTATCTGTGTGGTCTGGCTTGAAAACAGGCACAACTTTGTGACATTTCTTGGTACTAACAATAGCTAACATTTATATGACTGTTTATCACATCTAAGATACTATGCTATGTGCTTATGGTGCCTTGGTTCATGGAACTCCCTAAATTGCCCTAGGAAAGCTTGCCTTGTTATCATCTCCAATTAGCAGTTGGGAAAACTGAGGCTTAAAGGTTACAAAACTTGCTTGAGGTCTGGCACAGAACATGCGTTGTCATAGCAACACAGGGGCGCACCTGGTCTCTCATTTCTGCATTGCTATTCAGGTTTTTAGGCTTTGGTGTCCTGTCTCCCTTTGTAAGTTGGCTCTTTGAGGGCAGGAACATTAGACTATTCAACTTTATTCTCCTTGCAATCCCTCAGGCATAATTTTAAGAAAACATTAAACATCTGTTGTACAGCTCAAAGACTGTCTCTCCTGAAGAAGGCCCAGATGCTGTGGAACTGAAGGTAGGGAACTACAGCTGGGCAGAACAGTGAGACTTCTTCGCAGGTCTTCAAAGCCCAAAGTGAGACAGATAAATTGCTCTTTGGTATAGTTTCTGAGAGGGATGTTTTAGGTTTCCATCATAGGTTCTCAGAGTGAATGCAGCTCTGATGATCAGGGTGGTAGAAATGAGTATATCAGAGCCTCTGCCGGCAATGTTTAAGCTGTGGCTAGTGTCTACAGTTGAGATCCAGAATCATCTCAAATCTTCCCCAAAGAGCAGCTAAGCCATTTACAGATGAAAGTTCTGGCAGAAAAACACAACTTGTGCAGACTGTTGTGGCTGAACAGATTCTGCAGAGCCTGGAACAACAGGTTGCAAGTTGTCTCAGACCTCCAAATGCCAGTCATTCACATGTTAGTAAAAATCACAACACATTTCTTTCTAAATCCTAGCTGAGGATTGCTCTTTTGGAAGAATGGCATTTTGTCTAAAGGAGAGAGAAGACAAGTAGACAATTTTGTGGGAAAGACAGGCCTGGGGATTTGGGTGGGAGATAATGCAGTGAAAGGATGATAAAGCCAGACACCAAAACAGTGTAAACAGCTTTTCTTGGATAGGAGAAAATTCTTCCAACTTTCCCTCCATGCCTAGGATCTAAAAGTCTGGTTGGCAATGCAATTTAATTCCATTGTAAGGTAGACAGACTCCACCATGGGAAGGCTTAGGAACCTACTTTCCATTGTGACATGCTTCTAGAAGAAAATGTGAGTGGAGTTCTAAACAGCCCAATCCAAAAGCCAACTTTTTCCACCAGTGCTCTTTCAACTGAGGACAGATGGACTGGAGTATATCCACAAAGCAAGCACTTTTCCAAAATGTTCCCAATATGTTTGTTCTACAGGTCTCAGAGAAAAGGAGGAACGTGGCTTTTCCCGTTTGATGTAATTTTTACACAAATTTAGTATTTTATTACTTTCCTTTCTGAAATTATCTCAACTAATATTTCAAAATAGAACCACTTTGTTGAAAGTGAGAAGGAATACATAGGTATCAATTCCACAACTCGTATAATGTTGACTTTCAGACTGTAAATGAAGAAAACTGTTATAAAAGAATAATCTGTCAACTTTTAGAGCTGGGCCATCAACATCTTTGTGTTGTACAGGTGGGAGTCACATTACAGGTCTTCTTCTTGGAAAATTGTTTTTACAGACTGGCACACCCAATTTTGCATGCAAATTTAGGCAGAGTCTGGGCCCCTAAAGCTCACCCATGAATTCCCTGGGACTTGGGGATCCCCAGTTAGACCCTGTCATTTAGCCACTTGAGAAACACTCTCCCAGGGCTGAGTCCTCACTGGAATCTGGCAGTGCTAAGCAGTAAATCACCTGGTACACCAGACCTACACTGCCTGCCTTTATGGGAAAGGCACCTGATAAATCCTTCAGAGGCCCATAGTATCTTTTCTCACTGAGCTCTGGGGTTTCATGAAAGGCAGTGCAGCGTAAAGAAGTTTGCCATTGATTATTTCCATGTGCTACTTACCTCTCCCCAAATGCCGACTGTGTCTCTGATGTCGTTTTTGCAGTAAGAAAGCTGCCTGATGCAGTTGTTGACAGCAACACTACTTTTACCAGGGGCGAGGTCCTCTTCTGCCATTTCTACCCACCCCAGAGAGCGCACAGCAAAACACTGGAAGACAAAGCCAGAGGAGGTGAAATTACTCACTGCTCTGGGTATCAATTTTATGCTACACTCCTTGGGCAATTACCAGGTATGCTTAATGCACCTCTAATTGCCTCATTATGTTCAATCATCTAATTTAGTTAATAAATCCTCTATTGTTGGAGAATTAAATTGTAACTATGTAATTTTTGCTATTTAAAAAAAAATGTAGTGATGAATATCTTCTCGCCTAACTTGTATATGTGTGTTCAGATTTTTTCTTTAGAATAGATTTCCAGTGCAATTATATAGGGCTAATGAGTACAAAAATTTCTAAGCTTCTGTTATCTATTAAAAGGCGTTTTTTTTTTAAAAAGTAAAAAATGCAACCCCATGAGATCTGTTACATGTTAAGCACCTAGAAAAAGAAAATAGGAGACAAAATGAATTAAATACATGTTAGAGGCTGGCTGGTTAGCTCAGTTGGTTAGAGTGCAGTGATATAACACCAAGGACAAGGGTTTGGATCCCAATACTGGCCAGCTGCCTGACCCTCCCAATCCCCCCCCCCTTCGAGTTAGGCATTTATTTCTAATAGCAACAAAGCAAAATGTTTTAATACCCAGAAAGAGGGGAAAATGGGGGGGAAATGCACACTCATGGTAACAAGTAGGACTCAGGTGCTATAGCATTCCTGATTAGCACCAAATCCTGAGATGCATGCAGAATTGACAGACTTGTGAGACATCTTAAAGCATAAATAAAAATTATTCTTTTATCATTGAGAGATATTTTATTTGAGATCATTCCTCTTGTCTTCTTTTTTAAAGTTCTGTTGTTCAATTTTTTCCTTTAATTTAAAAAAGCTTTACATGCTTACTGTAACAAGTAAAACATCCAAAGACGTATAAAGAAAAAATTCACATACAAGTGAGGGCGATTTGGCAACAGCATCTGCCTTGCTATTGATCTCCGGGGCTGCCAGATGGCCTGAGCTGGGGCCTCTTATTCCTCCCTGTGGCCCGGGGTCCCACCCAAGCTGTGCATCAGTTGAAGAGACCACCTTCCCAGACAGGAAGGGCAGACGAGGAGCAGCATTTCCTTGGGAGCCAACAGTCAGGGTCTCAAGAGCAGCTTGTAAAGTTTCCAAATGTGAACTTTCTAACAAAATGAAGAAATGCAGCAAACTGCCCCAAAGCGACCACATTCAGACTCCTTCAACCTTCCCTGTTCCTGCCACCATGATTAGACTGCGCGCCTCCTTGAGTTGCTAACCACACTTTTTTGGTGGAAAAAACCCACCAAAATACCAGAGACAAAAACAGCCCATTTAAGCAAAGAGCACACTGATCCTTGAGTTCTAAAGGGGAAGGCTGCCACTCCACCCACAATACACACGGTACTTTTTACAAATAAACCAAAGAGAAGGCAGTCCTTGTGACAGCCACAAAACCTACTGAGGACCCTGTCTCCTGGGGAGAGGTTCTGGAGAGCCCTTCCCATTTCATGTGCACACATGCACACGTTGCAGAGAAACTGCTGAATGGTGAAGAGGATGTCACCACACGACGGTTGGCTTGTGACAAATTCAGGGCCAGCCTCTGGTCAGGAGCTAAGACGTTCCTTGGCCAGTCTGCCTGTCCCTCTGCAGCTCCGATTTCTTGGCCCCCAGACCAAATGGTGTTCTCCAGGTAGATACACTAGTAGGCCACAGGGGCACACCAGCAAGCATCCTGTTTTTTAAAACCCACCACTTCACAGGTCTGAGCCCATAAGTAGCCATGCCTGCTGTTTCTCCAGGGAGTTCCATGCAGCTCACTAACCTCTCCTCCATGATGGTTCCCAGTGTAGGCCCTTGTCAGTAAAATCACAATGTTGCAACCTACTCCCCTTGCCTGCCATTTCGACCTTGCTACCTACCGCCTCTAGTGCCTCCAGGTGTTGTCCAAGTGTCAAAATTATTAACTCATTTCATCCTCACCTCAACCTTTGAGGTCCATACTAAGTTACTGCACCCATTTTATAGATGAGGAAACTGAGGGAAGCACAAAGCTGGTAAGTGGTGGCCATAGGATTCAAACCCAGGCACTTTGGCTTCTGGGCTCCCATTCTTAATCACTCTGCTATAAGCCTCTGAGAATTTACTGGAGGGACAGTGTCTGATGGGGCTAGGCCCACACAACAGGACCAAAAATCAGTGACATTAACACAGTTTTGAGTGTATACGGCTCAAGAGGAGGGGCAGCCTGGATTCCAGTTTCAGCTCTCTGATTTACTGACACAATGACCCTGGGCGAGTCATTTACTAAGTCCCCATTTTTTTCATTTGTTCAAATGGGAATAATAATAATGATAATGATAATAGTTACCTCAGAGGGTTTTCATGAGGAGGAAACAATATCACATACGTGGAGAACTTAGCACATAGAAAGCACTCAATGGACATTTGTTGAATAAATGAGCAAATGAATACAATGCCACATAAATCTTAACAGGAGTCATCAAAGGGGAAAAAGTGAAAGGAACAGAAGATTAGTAATTAGGGTGACCACATGTCCCAATTTTCCCTATGATTGTTCTTATGTTTGTTGTTCTAGCAAAACTATTAAGAGCAGCCCCTTTTACTCTCAAAACAAGTTCCTCAAGTTGGATAATAAATTTTATGGTCACCCTTGTCAAAATTCTAGTGAATTTAGACTCTGGCATGGAAACTGAGGCTTGGACAGGGCTACTGTGATATGCCCAAGTGGAAATGGGGTTCAAAAGCAAAAGAAGGGGTTATCAGTACAACATCTCAGTGATCTTGTCCTGGGGGACCCCTAAGACACCAGTATTACTGTGGGATGTCACATACTCTTAAACCTGGAAGTCGGGAACACATTTTCCCACTGTCTCTAGCAAGCCTACTACAAAATCCTACAAACCTATGAATACTCAAAACAATTCACTAACAATAAGGAAGGTGAAAAAGAATCCTGGCTGCTTTTTGTGTCTTGAGTCCAAGAATACATGAATTTCAATCTAAACAAGCTCACTAAAAATCAAGAGTATCTTTCTCGGTTAAGAAATACAATCACTCAACCCCACCACAGCACATAAGAATACTGTTTTATCATGCTGATAAAAAGGAAACAAGAGCCCAAACTATATTACTATAATGAATTTATCTAAAATCATTTTCCTTGCACAAACCTGCTGTTGTTTTAATTTAGTTTCTCATCGGAAAAGCTTCACCACCATTCCACGTGGCCAGAGTAAAAGGAAATAGGTTTATAGGGAATACTGAGCTCCACCAGGGAGCCAACTTGGCTTCTTCCCAAAGAACAGAGCGGAAAAGAGCCACCTGCGCTGTTAGGTGCTGCCCCCGTGTGGCCAAGAGGGCTTATAACCACCACCACTTTTCCTTAAACTCAGGAAATGAGGCTTGGTGTTTTCAATCTGGGAATAAATGCTCATTTTAGAGTGTGGGAAGAGCTCAAAATATTTAATAAAATCATGTGATTTTTAAAACGCTTTCCCCAAATCACTCTGACATCAAGGATGATGTTCATCCTTCAATAGTATTTAACCAGAAGGGCAAAAATGGGTAAGGGCTCAGGGTGTGACTGTGTCATCAGATGGATCTGGATTCAAGTAATGACTTTGCTATTACCGAGCTCAAAATATTTAATAAAATCATGTGATTTTTAAAACGCTTTCCCCAAATCACTCTGACTGATGTTCATCCTTCAATAGTATTTAACCAGAAGGGCAAAAAAGGGTAAGGGCTCAGGGTGTGACTGTGTCATCAGATGGATCTGGATTCAAGTAATGACTTTGCTATTACCAGCTGGTGAGTTAGGGTAAGTACTTCAGGTCTCCAAGTTTCAGTTTCCTCATCTGTAAAATGGGAATAATAATAGTAATATATAATAAAATACAAAGTATGTAATAAATATAATGCATAATATTATAAATATTACTATTTTACATAAATATAAAAATTATATTTTATATAATATAATAAAAATATAAATAGTAATTTACAGTATATGTGAAGACTAAAGGAGACAATGCAGGTAAAGTATCTGGCATATAGGGAGATGTTATTATATAACAACAATGTTGTTGTTATTGATAAATTTTTACTCTTTTCTATGAGTGGACTTTAAAGATTTCTCTAGTTTAACAGATTTCAGCCAACGCAAGTATTTGGAGGAGATGTACTATAGACCATGACACATGTGATTGTATCACCTGGAGGGCTTTCTTAAAGACAAAAAAACTATGCCCTATCCCCACAGTGTCTGATTCAGCAGGTCTGGGTAGGACTCAAGTTCCCAGATGATGCTGAAGCTGCTGATCTGGGCACCACACTTTGAGAATCACTGTTGTACACAGACGGCCCCTTTCTTTACCCAAAGTTATGCTGTTCCTAAGATTGGTCCTGAAGTAAAATCTGGGTTCAAATCGCAGGACTGTCGCTTACTATTTGTGATGTTGGGCAAGTTAGTTAACCTCTCTGTACCTCAGTTTCCTCATCTGTAAAATGTGGATACTAAAAATACCTGTTTCACAACCACCTATCAAATGCTGTGAGGATTAACTGGGCTAAATTAGAGTTTGTTGCTGCTCCTGTTTATTGTTAGTTATTACAGGCATTTAAAGTGATCAGGATTATGGCTAAATCAGAGGGGACACAGCTCTTGGCCTGGGATTCCTTCTCTCCCATTTGTTGTCCCTTCTCCCACATGGAATCAAGTCATCGTGTCATAGTTGGAACACTTATCCTGTTGGCAACTTCTATCTCTTTGAGTCCTATATTAACAGAGGCATCTGCCTGGAGAGAACCTCTTCCTAAAACATACTCAGTGGGGTAGAACGCAGTGCAAAGCCTTGGTTGCTACGGCCAGACGGTCCTGGGTGTGAATTCCTATATTCCAATCAGCCAGTGCTCAGCCTCCATGCATCTAAGTTGACTCTGTTGAAAAGTTATAACAACACTAAGTTCACAGAGCTGCCAGGGAATGAAGATGAAATGGTTGGCA